GCCGTCCTTCCTCCTTCGTCGTCGTTCGCGTCGTCGCCGTCCTCCCTCCTCCCTCGTCGTTGTCGTCGTTGTCGTCGTTGTCGCCGTCGTCGTCCTTCCTCCTCCCTCGTCGTCGCCTTCGTTGGCGTCGTCGTCGTCTTCGTCGTCGTCGGCGTCGTTGTCGTCGTCGAAGTCGTCGGAGACGTCGTCGGTGTCGTCCTAGTCGTTGTCGTCGGTGTCGTCGTAGTCGGTCTTAAGATGTTTTGCCAACCAAGTTGCGGGTGGGTGGGTGGAATGTTTGCGCGAGCAGTGGAGAAGACAGCTTCAAGACAGTCAAAGTGAATCCCACCATAGATATCACTGTCGATCCCACTATAGATCTCACAACAGATTTCACGTTCGACCTCACTAAACTCTCGTTATCTGTATCGATCTCAATATCGATCTTTAAACAGCTATCACTATCGACCTCACGATCGATCTCATTATCGATTTGACTGTCGAACTCACGATCGATCTCAAAGCCGACCCCACGATCGATCTCACAACAGATCTCACTATCGATCTCCCAATGGATCTCACCATCGATCTTACAATCGAACTCACGCTCGATCTCACATTCGGAGCCACTCTCGATCTCACAGCAGTGCTCACTATCGGTCTAACGATCGATCTCACGATAAATCGCACGATCGATCTCACGATCGGTCTCACGATCGATCTCACAATCGATCGCCTAATCGATAGCAGTATCGATCTCACTGTCGACCGCACTATTGAGCGCACGAGCGATCTCACCATCGACCACAACAGATCTCACGATCGATTTCATGAACAAATGTCACCATCGATTTCACAACCGATCTTACGATCGATCTCAGAACAGATCTCACAATCGATCTCACTATCGATCATACCGCCGCGCCACCGACGGGACACCCCGCACCACCGACGGGACACCCCGCGCTACCGACGGAGCACCGCCGCGCCACCGACGGGACACTGACGGGACATCGACTGGACACCGACGCGCCACCGACGGGACATCCCCGGCCACCGCGCGCCGGGGGTGGGGGACAACCGGCTCCACAGACAACCGGCTCCACAGCCCTTAGCCACGGCGGCATCACTCCTCTCGCGCGCCCACCAACGCAGTTTCGCCTCGCCTGCACGCGTGACACGAACACGAAACCGAAATCGATGTCCCAGTGGGGGGCTCTCCGTTCCACTGCGATCACCCCCTCACCTCCGACGTATGAGTCGAACGCGACCTCTGCACGCGTTATGGTGGAGCCTGCTACTTTTAAAGCAGGACAGATCCTTGTGGGGCCATCAGGCTGCAAGGCTTAGGCTAGCTGCTCCCTGCAACAGATTCAATTTCTAGTTTCAAATGTTACAGTCCTGATTTCTGCTTCCTTTTGTGAATTGTTGGAGTCAGCGCGAGGGGGGGAACCGAATAGGGCCCGGTTACCACCCCCGAATCGCGTTGTCTGAATTCCTGCGGGGCCGTGGGACATGTAACAACACTTACGATTCGCGCTCCCGGCGCAATATTGCCTTGAAAATTACGCTGTACTCGCGCCCCCGAGGCCGCGACCCTTAGTAAGTTACACCCGCGTCCCCGAAGCCACGATTCCTCGCAACATACTCCGTACTCGCGCTACTATCTCTTGACATACGTTAGCGCCTCTGGGGCCACGATCCCTTGTATATTACACCACGCTTGCGCCTCCCTTTTAAAATGCGCCACGTTCGTGGTTCCGAGGCCACGATCCCTGATAAATTACGCTACGTTCGCGCCCCCCGAGGCCACGATCCCTTTTTAAAATTACACCACATTCGCGCCCCCGAGGCCACGATCTTGTAAAACATACTCCACACTCGCGCCCCCGAGGCCACGATCCATTGAAAATTACTTCAGATTCGCGCCCAGGAGAGCACGACCCCTTGCAAATTACAATCTTCGCGTCCCCGAGGCCAGTCATCCTTGCAAATTGCACCATAGTCGCGTCCCCGAGGTCAGCCACCCTTGCAAATGACACGATGTTTGCGTCCCCGAGGCAACAACCAGAGCAAATTACACAATTGCTGTGCCCCCAAGTCAACAACACCATGTAAATTATTCAAGTGTTGCGCCCCCGAGGCAACAAACCTTCGAACATTATGCAATAGCTGCGACCCCGAAGCTAGAACCCTTTGCAAATCAAACCATATCCGCTTCCCCCAGGTCACAAACCATTCGCACATATTGCCGCGCCCCCGGAGCCAGAACCCCTAGTAAATTATACAATACTCGCGCCCCCGAAGCCACAAACCCTTATACATTAAACAATGATTGCGCCCCTGAGGCAACAAACCTTAGTACGCTATTCCATATTCGCGTCCACATGGCCATATACCCTCCCAAATAACACCATATTCGTATTGCCGAGGCCAAGAGTGCTCCAAGGCGCCCGAAGGTGGTTCCAAGGCGTCCCAAGAGGGCCCCAAGAGCGATCCAAGAGCCCTTCCAGAGAGCCCCAAGAGGGCAATATCGGCGATATCACAAACACGTGCTCGAAGGAGTTTGGGGTTCTCGCATTTTCGGGCTTTCCGACGCTCCGAGATGGCTGAAGAAGCTCCCAAGACCGCCCCAGGACAGCCCAAGACGCCTCCAAGAGGGCCCCAAGACGGCCCGAGAGGGCTCCAGGATGGCCCAAGAAGCGCGCCCCGACAAGCCCCCAGGAGGCCCCTAGAGGCCCCAAGAGGCGTCCAAGACGCGCCAAAGAGGCCTCCAAGAGGCCCAAAAGATACCACACGAGGCCCCCAAAAGGCGCGGAAACCGCCTCCAAGAGGCCCGCGAGAGGCTCCCCACGACACCCCAACACATATACAAAAGGCCTCAGACCCACAACCCAGACACGGTGGCGGGATGGGCCGAAGGCCACTAGGATCCGCCGCCCCCTGCTTGCAGGGGTGCACGGCGTGCTGGATGAGCTGTCAGGTTTTGGTTTTGGTTCTTTTTCTCAAAGAACTCCCCAGTGGGCTTCGGCCCGTCCCGCCGGCCACCCGGAAAGGATGCCCAGGAGCTCAATTCCCCAATTTCCTGCCCCAGACGGTTCCAAGATGGCCTCCAAGACGGCCAAGATGGCCCAAGATGGCCTCCAAGATGCCTCCAAGACGGCCAAGATGGCCTCCAAGACGGGTAAGATGGCTCCAAGATGCCTCCAAGACGGCCCAAGATGCCCTCCAAGACGGCCAAGATGGCCCCAAGATGCCTCCAAGATGGCCCAAGAGGCCTCCAAGACGTTCTCCAGGAGAGCCCGAAGAGGCCAAAATCATTGTTTTCCTTAGGTTTTTCAAGGTTTTTTGCGTTTTCTTCTTTTCGGCCTTCCGACGGCCCAAGAGGCCCCCAAGATCGCCCAAGAGGCCTCCAAGAAGGCCCTATGACGGCCCAAGGGCCCCCCAAGACGGCCCCAAGAGCGCCCCAAGACGGCCCAAGAGGCCTCCAAGACGCCCAACATGGCCTCCAAGACGGCCCTGAAGCGCCCCAAGAGGGCCCCAAGACGGCCCAGAGAGGCCCCCAAGACGGCTCCAGACGGCGTCAGACGGACCAGGAACGCCCTAAGACGGCCAAAGAGACCCCCAGGAAGCCCCCAAAGGCCCCCAAGAGGCCCAAGGAGGCCCCCAAGAT